CAATAAAAATCATATATAGATCCTCCTTGTTCTCTCTATACTTCTCCATCAAACCTCTCAAAAAATGTATAGCTTCCATAGTAGACCTACCTGGCATTAATCCAAATTGATTTTGAGAAACATTGGTGTCACGCCGCAATCTATGCTCCATAACTCTCTCCCATAGTTTTAAAGTATGACACATTAACCTAACTCCTATATAATAACACTATATTATTATTTTAAATAACATTTATACAAAAGTAAGCCAATAAATAATAACACAATATATTATAATATTAAATAACATTTATACAAAGTAAGTGGTGCAACCTAAGTTTCTAAATATATGATGGAGAACACTTAGAAAAGCAATTAGAAAACTTCTTCATTTCAGTAAAGTAGAAACATTCTAAAAATAAAAACAAGTTTTAGAAAACAGCTTATAAAATCCGTAAACATAAAGAAACAACAACAAGCCTACCCTAAAAACAACCAACAAGCGGTCACCTTACATGCAATGCTCAAAATATAAAGGATAGGTGCTAAAAGGATAGATCTAACCTGGAATCCACCACTAGAACAATCCAGTAAATACCAACCAAAAACATGGCAGCAGAAACCACCAAGCTCACAAGAAAAGAAGGATACAAATGGGGCAGGAACCGTGGATAGAGAAGAAGAGATAAAAGACGGAGACGAAGCAATAGAGAAGGGGAAAGGAAGCTAGCTTGCAAGCTAAAAAACCCACAGGTTTGTATGCAAATACTTCACCAAAACTCCTTCCAACTGCAGGAAAATAGTCACTATATATAGGGGGAAAATGGAAAAAATATTTAATGCAAGAAAATTAAAGCAACACCCAAACAACCACAAGAATTCCCTTGAAAACCGCAGCAAACAGGGACCGAAGGGACAGCAGCTCGGGGGAAAATGGGCATTAATACAATAGTTAATGGGCACAAAAACCAAAGGGGCAACAGTTAGGGGGTAAACGAGGCAATAATACAACAATTAATTGACACAAAAACCAAAGAGACAACTTCCCAAACTGAAGGGACAATAACTAGGGGGTAAACAAGGCATTAATACAATAGTAAATGGGCACAAAAATCAAAGGGACAGCTGCCCAAACCGAAGGGGCGGCAGCTAGGGGGAAAACTGAGGAAAACAAGGCCCACAAGGGGATAAACCAGCAGCCCACCAAGGAAAAAACAAAAGAAATAAGGTGCAGGATAGGAAGAGACATCCCTAAGAGCACCAACCTAGCAAGATCATTAGTTGACTTCCATCATAGGGTAACCATAATTAAAAAAAAAAAAGAAAGAAAGAAAGAAACATAGAGTCAAAATTACATAGAGTCCAAAACATAGAAAAATAAAACATAGAATGATAATCCTTGATTGCATCAATTCTCCCCTGGCGCAAGAATCTCATCTCCTGATGAGAATGCCTCAGTCATTCGATGATAGGTATCAGGATGACAATGTTGCAGCTTCACATCTTCAACAGTCAGTCAAGGGGACGTCATTCTATCTAACCAAGAGTCGTCGGTGCACTCTGTTTTGTTTGGGTAGTACGGATATCTACAACTTTATCAGGAACAGTGGACAAAGTCCCACACAACTGTTTGCTTTTAGCAGCACCTATTAATATCTTTTCAATAATGGAAGTATTTTTCTCAAAATAAGGTTTTACATGATATGTGATTGAACCAACTCTTTCAAAAATCTCAACATCTTTTGATAGAATACTTCTAACCAAAGTATCCTTGTCAAAGAAAATAATGGATGATAAACATTTACTTGACACAGCTAGATTCATCAATTCAAGTTGTTCATCCTCTATAAGATGCATGTTCCCTTCAATATTTTGATGAGCTATAAAATTTGTATCAGCAGCTTCCTCCATGGACGTTGTCCACAATTACAGTTCTTCTGGCTGTCTCACCTTCTCTTCTTCTATGTTTACTTCAATCAGCAGCATTTTGCAGCACACAGGTTGATCAACATACTGCAATGTCACTTCATCAGATCAACTTTCAAGAATAACAACTTCTCCATTGTGTCTTTCATGGTCTTGCATCTCTTTGTTAGTCAGTCTTTGCACCTTACTCTTTCTTTTAAAACATTGTTTCTCACATGCTACCAACCTATTCACGACTTCAACTTTATCTGTTATTTGAGCCCAAATTTATCCACAATATCATTGAATGGATAAATGGTAAACTGAGCATCTTGAAGAGCATAATCTGGCCGCATTTCTTTTTTTTTAGGATGCTGCTTCCCAGAAGAAAAACATGGCAACTTACAACTAAGATCATGAACTAAATCAATATTAATTGAAGAACCAACTTCATTAATAGCATTCTCCAAAGTAAGTTTTGCAAATAACTAGAATCCGCTCGTTGGAATATAGATTTCACCTTACTGGATCCCGCATTTTGTTTCAAAATAGGTTTGCATTTTCGACTTAGTGCGGCCAAGGTATTAGTCATTGCTTCCATTTGTTATTGTAGCTTAACCAGTTGTTGCATAAACATGCATTGCCATTTAGCTTGATGATTATCCATATTTTTATAAAGAAGAAAGGAAGATTATAACGACAACCAAGGTCTCTGATACCAAATTGGTGCAACCTAAGTTTCTAAATATATGATGGAGAACACTTAGAAAAACAATTAAAAAACTTCTTCCTTTCAGTAAAGACGAAACATTCTAAACATAGAAACAAGTTCTAGAAAACAACTTATAAAATCCATAAAAAGAAACAACAATAAAGCTACCCTCAGAACTACCAACGAGCGGTCACCTCACATGCAATGCTCGAATTATAAATGATAGGTGCTCAAAGGATAGATCTATCACGGAAACCACCACAGGAACAATCCGGCAAATACCAACCAAAACATGGCAGCAGACACCACCAAGGTCACAAGAGAAGAAGGATACAGATGGGAAGGAGGGAAGCGGGGGGGGGGGGGGGGGGGGGGGGGGGGGGGGAACCGTGGATAGAGAAGAAGAGATAAAAGACCGAGACGAAGTAAGAGAGGGGAAGGAGAAAAGAGGCAGCCTCGCAAGCTAAAAGACCCGTAGATTTGTATGCAAATTCTTCACCAAAACTCCTTCCAACTGCAGGGCAACAGCCACTATATATAGGGGGGAAAGGGAAAAAAATATTTAATGCAAGATAATTAAAGCACCACCCAAACAACCAGTAGAATTCCCTTGAAAATCGCATCAAACAGGGACCTAAGGGACAACAGCTAGGGGAAAAACGAGGCTTTAATACAACGGTTATTGGGCATAAAAACCAAAGGGACATGAGCTAGGGGTAAACGAAGCATTAATATAGCAATTAATGGGCACAAAAACCGAAGGGATAGCTTCCCAAACCGAAGGGATAGTAGCTAGGGGGTAAACGAGGCATTAATATAGCAATTAATGGGCACAAAAATTGAAGGGACAACTGCTCAAACCGAAGGGACAGCAGCTAGGGGGAAAAGCCGAGGAGAAAAAAGGCCCATGAGGGGATAAACCAGCAGCCCACCAAGGGAAAAACAAAAGAGACAAAGTGAAGGATAGGGAGAGATATTCCTAAGAGCACCAATCTAGCAAGATCATTGGTTGACTTCCATCATAGGGTAACCATAATAAAAAAAAAAAATAGTCTAAATTACATAGAGTCCAAAACATATAAATAAAAAATATAGAAAAATAAAACTTAGAATGGTAATCCTTGATTGCATGAGTAAGCCAATATCAACACAATATATTATTATATAAAATAAAATTTATCCTTTTCCTTTAACACTTTTTTTGTCAACTTCTTTCCTTCTTCAACTACATAGAAAACACTGGTCCTCAATCCTCCTTACTATCCACCAACTTCACTCTTTTGCTCATGCCACCAAACACTCTCACCATCTCAGTATGTCACAGTCTCCAACCACCAACACCCAAAACCTTGCATTGCTAGCTACCAAGACTCCAAGAGAAATATGGTGCAAAGCTCACTCCCAACTGTCATTGTCCCTATTGCAATCAATTTCTTCCAGCAGTCTCATCATCAGTCTCTATCACCGTTAGTCTCCTAGGGACCACCTGAGAAGATCCTCGACTTGCAATCTTCTAACCTACTTCCAAGCTTCAATCCCCGAAAACCTTCTGATAGTCATCAAGATTGAAAGGGAAGACTGGTGGAATGTTTTTATGGAGTTGATAGCCTAAGTTAAGAAAAGCAGACTTCTACCAAAAAACTACAGATATGTTTTTCATTAGTCAACAAGTGACTTCTAATCATGCTTTTATAAGATAAGGTAGTGGGTTTTGTTTCAGAAAAGTAGATGGAGTTTTGATTTAAAACATTGTGATAAATTTTACTATGTTCAGAAACAAATCTGTCGCAGATTTAAGAAGCTGTAGATAGGATTTTGATTTAAAACCTTCTAATAAATTTTGCTGCAATTAGGAAACAAATGTTTTCCTGATTTAAGATTGATTAAATCTAGCAACAATTTTTCACAAAAAATTAAGCTCATATTTCTCTAGCAAAATTAAGAAGGTATTGCATTTTTCTTTCCTTCTTTCCATCAACATTTGACATAATTTTAGTAGAAACCAGTTTGGCCGTTATTAAATTTTACACAGAAATTGAGTTTGGGTTTCTAAATTCATTATGCTGTATCAAAGCTTAGAAGTTTCAATTTTAATTATTACTTTTCTCATCCCGTCATAGTGCTGACACATGAATTTTCTACGACTAAACTCTTAATAAGTACGTAACAATCAAAGTTATAAAATACATGCTTTATAAAACAAATAAAGAATAAAGTGCAAGATTTTCTAGAACAAACCTACTCATCAATAATCATATTGGTAACTTGCTTCAAGGTGTTAGGTTCAAAACACACAACTCATTAGGCAACACTAACATTCATAGAAATGACACAATGAATTGCTTCAGAGTAAAAAAAAGAATACAAAAACCAAGTGCAAGAAGTGTGAACAATTATTTCTTACTTTTCCACATAGATGTGCTTTACCGTACCAAACTTTGAGCACTCTTCTTGCACGTCTTCTTTAATATCCAAATCAAAATCTGGATCAGTCTGGAATGAAAACATTAAAATTACAAGTTACTTGCATATTAAGGCACAAGAATCTACTAAAACAGATAAATTATGCTTGGATCCATCCGTAAGAACATATGTGCAACAAACTTGCATGTTTTATAGATATAAATGCATGAAAGAAGGTAAAGCCTACTGAAAATGACAAGCATATGCACATGCATGCCAGCATAGTTACAAACATTATATATATACACACACACGCCTTCATAATACATCTTCTTTATGCATGTATTGCCGAGATGTGCAAGTCACAATATACAACTGCATATGCGTATGAGCATATCCATGTACAAAAGTATGCGTACATGCACATGTCTTCCCTATGCAATTTTTTACTACATTCTATGATGCACAAACACGGCGACACGGATACGACATAACACAGACACAAAACAAGTCAATTATTAAAATATAGAACACGGACACGGGTTGGACACGATATTATAATTTTTATATTTTAAAAATAGTGTATGAAAATTGATAGATATAATATCAAAAAAAAAAAAGAAATAATAAGCCATTTAACTAGAATTTGTGCTAAAAATAATTAACATTAAGACGTCGAGCTTCGATACCGTGTATCAGACATCGAGAGAAGAGAGACAATGTTGTCGAGAGTCGAGCATTGATGTTATGAAGTATCGGGCGTCGATGTTAAGAGGGCATTGGTTGTCGATGTTAAGAGGGCAATGGTCATCAATGTTGAGAAGGCGTTGGTCGTCAATGTTAAGATGACGGATAAAAATGAGCTGTCAAGTTGTGGGTGTAGAAATAGTTAACGTCGAGTATCAATGTCAAGGTAGTATCAGACTTTAATGTTGAGATGGTTTTGAAATATCGATGATGTAACGACATAAGACATCTATGTTGAGATGCCATCGGACATTGTTGTGAAACCAAAGTAATGACCCGTCAAAGAGAAATGAAAATGAGAATATTCGATGAATGAGGTATTAAGTGCGGGTGATTGATTTAGTGATAAAAAATTTAGTTTTTATATTTTCAATAATTAAAATTTTTAAATACAAGATATTATATTTTAAAAAATATATATTTAAGACACGAGTGTCGAACACGCTTGTCCAATTTGTTTTTAATAATTTTTTTAATCGAACATGTTTTTGACGCGTCTGACACGTGCTAGAGGCGTGTCAGACACGTGTGGTGTCGGATAGGTGCCAGACATGACATGCCTCTTTGAGGAGAAGTATTTGTGCATCATACACTACGTTAATGCAGCTGCATGTGCGTGCACACAAATCAAAGGTTGGGCAGGCCACACTTACACGCCTCTCAATGCATTTCTAATAGTGCATATCCGCAAGCATCTACCCATGATTGCAAGCAAGCAAGCACTTAGGATGATTTTTATATTGCACATATACAAACACATGCTTCAATGCATTGTCTTAATATCTAGCTATGATAATCCACTAAGAATAAGCATCACAGAAAATACATTTAAATGCCCACACCATTATAATTATGCAAAGTATTCATATATCTATATTACTATTTAAAAAGTGGCATGTGATTCTACTATTATAAAATCTTAGCCCTTCACTTAATTTCATAGTTCCTTCTTGCCTTTTAACTTCATAGAAATGGATGTAGACACCTCACTCCAAGAATAAATGCGTACTAATGCTACTTAAACTTCTAATTTAGAAGGGAATAAATAATGGAAAAAATTAAAAATAATTTCAAAATACTGATTGATTTTGTAATTTTTCTTTTTAATGATTTCTGAAATCCTATTAATGGCCATAATTTTCTTAACAATGTTGTTGTCGGTGGCAAGTCCTAGACGAAAAAAATTAAAGGTTGTGTTAAGTAGTCAACAACCAGTATAAAACTTGTTGAACAATCATAACACAAATCAATTAATGCATTGTATTACATAATAGGACAAAATAGAGAAAAAAGATTCATGCAGTAGACCCAATGTAGTGGAATAAAGTTTTAATGTTGTTGTTGTTTTTGTTGGCGATAGTTTTCTTGAATTTAATTCTCTTCTTTTCTCCCAACATTACCTTTCCTTTTCCTAAATTTAAGCTATTTCTATTTTGTTAATAATAATAGAATATTGCATCTAAGGTTTGAAAATTGTGAAATTAGATAATGTATTTTCTTTTTATGAGGTGGGGCATAAACCTATAGGCATTTTGAACCATAACACTCAAAATTAAATAATTAAATCACTTAAAATCTATAACATAAAGCATTTGAAAGAAATTTGATGGTTGGTTCCTTCTGGACTAGCCATGGTTTATAGTAGGCGGGAGTAGCATTAAGATCCTCCCCCCTTGGAGTGGGGCCGAGGAGGATAATTCAAAGGGAGATGGGGGTGGCTAGGAGGGAAAATTCAAATGAAGGGGCTGTTTTGGGATTTTCCTTATTATTGTACGCTTTATGTAGGTGGTTTACCCTAGGGTTCAAGTTTTTGTATGCTTGTTTTGCTGAAATTAGTTTTTCTTAGATTGTGCGGGCTCTAGGGATTTGGGAGAACCGGATCTTTCTCTCCAACAGAAGATCCAACTGTATCTTGTGTTTTCCTTCATAATTCTTTCAATAAAAAAAGTGTTCTAGTGCGTTCTTCTTCCTAAATTTCTTGTGTCATTTTCTGATTTTGTTGAAATTGCATCCACTTTCTATCACAATTTTCCTTAAAATAATATGTAACATCATAAGAAATTGAGCTTAACCTATAAAGAATTTAAGAGTAATCCAAAAGTATCAATGTATCATCATAAGAAGTCATACAAGCACTCAAAAATTAAGCAAGAAATCTAAGATAAACAAGGACACATAAATAAAAAGTAAGCCTGTCATAAAATAAACTGGTTATGACTTGAGACTTCAAATTCAAAAGTCTCTACCACTCTAATCATTTAGAAGATCTTCATTAGAAACATTGTAATAGCTGATTGCTTTCTTGCACCTCTCATCTTTATTTCTAAAGTCATTCTCTCAATCTTCTTTATCATCTTCCTCTTCCTTATAATAAATTCCAAAATGAATATTACTTAAAATAAAGACTATAGTGACCTTTTATAGTTTCTATTACATAAATTTTTATACTAACATTTTATGTTACTTTCTTTTTTTACTTTTGTTGTTATTGTTCTTTACACCATCGAAAAAGTCAACACTGAGATATTTATAATTATGATAGTGAAACTTCATTTTCATCCTTCACAAACAATTCCTCATCTGATAGCCCATCAACATTACAAATCAAGGGATCTTAATCAGCCTCCAAAATTTTACTCAAATGTATATCATCAAATATCTTGTTATATATTAGATAAATCAATGAGCTCATCCAGGCAATTTCTTCTCTTGGAATGAATTTGATTATAATTGCTCCAATTTCGCTCACAAACCGATTATGAGCATGTATGACCAAATACTTTTATTACAAATATTTGCAATTTGTGAGTGTCATATCCAAATTGAATCCACCACCTAATTACTTTAAAAGAAAAAACATGATCAGCATAATATACAAATCTAAACAACTACACCAACAAATAACAAATAAGAGCGTCCATAGAATCTAGGATTTTACTTGCCACCAGAACATTTGGCTATAATGTCTTTAGCATGTTGTAATTCAAAGAATCCTTCCTTGTCTCTAACAACTGCATGCAGGAGACCAATCTTCCCACTCTATTGAATCAACAATCATTACAATTATGCAATGGTGCAAGTCAAGTTTAATCATTGGACTTAATATCATTATATTGATATTGAGAGTTTAGACAATATAGTTGCATACAAATATCAATACAATTGAAGCTCCCATTTTTCTTCTATAATTTCCCAAATTTTCTTACAGTTTTCCTGATCTCCACCCAAGCCTTTTGCTATCATATCTTTTGCAGCATTCATAGTAATTACAACGCAAACTCATCACTGGCTTAGTCTAAAGATTCTCAAGGCATGAACCAAGGGTTGTAATTGTGATACCATAGCTTATTAAGCGAGAAACTTTCATTTAAACAATCTTTATCACTACAGATTTTTAGATTTCTTTTCTCATGCACAACTTAAACCATGGGTTGCCTCCTCCTCCCGAGAATATTCAGAGTGCCTAGGGAATCTGATTAGTAGACATGGGTTGTCTTCTCTCAGAGATCCTGAGTAGTAAGGTGGTTAGATATGGATTGTAGTTTTAAAAAGGTGATTTGAGGTTTACATCTATTAGAATACTCAATAGTTGATTTAGTTTGGGTTTAATGACTTCATTTAGAAGTTGTCCTTTAGTTTGAGTTGATTTGGGGCTTACGGCTTTTATAGGAAGTAGTCCGATTATTTTAGAAGTGGGTCTTACGGCTTTCATTGAAAGTAGCCCAAATAGTAGGTCTTCTTTTGGAAGATGTCTGGCTATTTGGGATAAGTCCTACGGCTTCTATGTTTAGAAGTAGCCTGAAGGAGAGTTTTATAACCTAACGCTACAAGCAAGGAGGCACGTTAGTTTTTGTGGTAGATTTAACTACAAGTATTTTTAGTTGCAGTTGTTTTCTAGCTTGACACTAGATCTTAGTTTTCAATTATTTTACTAGTAGCTCGAGCATGAAACTAGTGTTTCTGCTATAGTACACTGCTTTTCTTTTCAGTGCTTATTTTTCTTTCAGTACTTGTAGCTTAGTTTAGCACTTGGTTCTTTTATTGCTATAGAAATTGTTTTAGTACGCTGCTTTTTCCTTGTTTCAACAATTTGGATTTAGCATTGATCAATTTTTTTGTTTCTTCACTTGCAAGTGCCTAGAGCTTTGTACCCGCAAGAGCTTGCTTGGAATATTGGAGAGCTTACATAAGTATTTTTTTGGAGTTTTGGAGAGTTGTTTTGTCTGAGTCAGGAGTTTTACTTTTAGAAGTGTGATTTCAATGTTTAGCTTGTATTAATTGAAAACTATAGCACAATTAAATTAAAATTAAAATTCAATTAACTGGTTAATTGATTGAAAATT